CTGTACTCAGTGGAGTTCCTGAGGTTCTAGGTGCACTTTCCAGCAACTCAACGGCAGCTCCAGAAAAAAATGATAAAACGAAATAAAATATTTACGTAAAGATGCGAGCCATAAAACATCAAAAAGGAAGATGTAATACGGGTGCTAGAGAACTGAGGAAGTAGAGCCCCTTGTAAAATATGCAAGGACTAATACGTGAAGTATGTAACTTGAGGTAAAGACATGCATCAGTAAGTGGTAATGCATAACGTAAGCCTAAGGGGCTTCACCTTAGAGAGTTGCCGCAATTACTCGTGTACCGCGCGCAACTTCTATCCCAAAACTTGAAGAGGGGAAAATGGACGCGCGTCATACGCAAGACCTTTGCTTAATTTATTATGGGTCGTAAAGGGAATGTTTGGAAAAAAATGTTTTTTTTTGAAAATCGGCGTGCGCATCTTGCACTTGTCTATCTGCTGGGCCTTCATGGGTGGTTGTAAGTTTGTAACGTGTTTTAGCACTAGAAGTTACTGTGCATCCATATGTGACTGGGTACGGCGCATAAAAAGGTTAACCTGACTTGTGATGTGTGCTCAATCTGTTCCTAACTTCGTCCACCTCGTTTCCTCTGCGGCGCGCTCCCCTCCCTTCATTCGGCTGCTAATTCGTTCGTGAGTGCCGGAGCATGAGTGAATACTCCTTCTGCTGAACAGAGCGGGTTTGGAAACTCTGGGTTGGATTGTATGACCTATCCTCGCGGATGGTGTTCCCGGTCGACTGGGTTACCCCGTTACGCCGGTGCGAAATAAATGTGGGCCGTCAGATTCAGGGATTGGTTGCTGGTCTGCCGCGTCGGAAATACAGTATTGACTGCGTGACTGGACAAAGCTTCCGCTGCCCTTGCGGCACGCCCTGCAACTCGTATGCGGGATTTCCCTCCGGAAAGCGGTCGCTGATCCGTGATGTGCCCGACGGGAAATGTGCTCAGCGTCCCCATGTCCGCTGTGGCTCCGAGGAATACGTCAAACGACGGGGCAATCGTGATGCCATAACTCGAAACAAAGGTGCACACATTGGGACACAACGGTTTAGCATGCGAGACATGCTCTGCACGCGACATCTCTCATGCATAGAATGTTGTTTGAAGCTAACGCAATCCTAGAAAGTAGTAGAGTTTTTTGTTGCTGTTCAGAGAACAAGTGCTGGCCACCTGCCGCAAGCTTTGTCGAGGAAAGCTAGCGAGCAAGAATTTAGCTTTGGAATTATTTTCGGAGTGACACGGGGAATGTCGTGCAACAGGTGAACGTTTCATCGAAGGTAATTACACTGTAATTATGTCCTCCGTGAAGGGCCGCACCGCAGTGTGCGTCACGTCGGAAATTTTTCAACTTAATTTAGCTCTGCTGATTTAAACATTTGCTGAGAGCTTGAATTTTAATTCCTGGAAATTAGGTGGGACGAAGTCGTCATTTCCTTTCACGATTGAGCGATATTACTTCCATGAGCAAATTTTGGAACAGAAAGAAGCCAGGAATTCGAGTTGACGATGTTTCGCGAAACAAGGAATTTGAAAAATAAACATACAAGGTATTGAAAGAAAATACATGAAGGATTTAGGAAATTATTTTCTAAAGGCGCTGATACTATTTTTGATTTTGAATGTGATTGAAGGGAAATTACGAAATACGAGCACAAATCAAATCATTTTTTCCTAACACAACAAACAAGACGGGTGACCCGAAATATGACCAATTTATGAAAGCGAAGTTCTTTTTAGTACCCTAGTGTCTGAATCAGAAACCTCAAACGTATTCTGGCATCAGTTAAATTATTTACAGAACTTATTCATTTGCTATGTTTAAAAAAAATTAATATCCATTATTAAGCAAAGTTTTGATCACCCGTTGATGCATAAAAGCATTCATGTTCAGTATCGTGGCTCCAAACGTTGACAATCTTGTTTCATCTTTGATGGTTTTCAGTTCTGGGGCATTGAGCCTAAACTATTTTTTATCATCATTAACTGTGCTTTTGGTAGCAGTTTGTTCACTTGAAAAACCGTAAAACATATTGGATAGGCAGTTGAACCTGATTTACTCATAGTCATGGGGTTAATTTCAACTGCGACTTTTTTCCATTTCAATCTGTGAGAGTAAAACTTGGAAGTCTGCTCACGAAATGATCGAATATTGCTTAGTATTTTTTATTGTTTATAATAACTCATCCATCCAAGAGGAGCAATAGGCGGACAAAACTTTCGAAGCAATCCTGGTATTCCTTTCAGTGATTCGTATTTCACCTTTCTCTGGAAACTTTTCTCTCGGAAACGAATGATCCCAATAATCGCATCTTCTATCAGATGCTGGAAGTTTGCCCTTCCCAGGTGAAATTGAACCTGTACCACTGCAATCTCAAACTATCATTACTCAGGGCTTCGCAGTCCCATCCGGCGCTTCCGGGCTCCGAGGAAGTCATCTGGAGGATATATAGGGTCGCGAAGAGAATCTAGCCCCTCGTGTCGCGTTCCGACATGGGGTCAATTAATTCTTCTGCCTTCTGCAAATGCGTGTCACTTGAGGAGCGGGATGCTTTGCTCCCTCGCTGAATTGATCAATAACCGACGTCGTGTTCATCCACGTCGAGTAGAATGAGAAGAAACACTCACAAGAGCATTCGGGGAAAACCGGATATCGTTGAAAGTCACTTCCGGTGAATGCGCCAAATTCTGATTGCTCTCCTCGAAATTTCTTTCCTCGGGTCACGAAGAGAGTTTCATTGAATTTGGTGAACTTTTACGTGAAATAATGATTGCAGTTCTACTTATTACCAACTCTTTCCGAAATTATTTTCGGATAATTACGGAAGAAGAGCTGCGTGTCATTCATAAACAAAGGTTCGCGCAGGTTCGAAACTACGGGTGGATCAAAACTTTTCGATACGGAAATGAATCTTCAAAGAACTTCGCAATCTTCTCACACATTTCTGATGGTAATTCAACCATTTCTTTTAAGATAAAATGACCGTGGAAAAACTTTTTGATACAGGAATGAATCTTCAACGAACCACACACATATGTGAGTTTCATTCAAACATTCCCTTCAAGACTAGTACTTTTTTCGGCTAATTAATAAATGCTAACATGTCTGCTGGTTATGAAGTCGTCGATGCAAAAACCGTTGCCTGGCGATACGCCACCAAAGCAAACACTAATACTTAGGCAATCATATTACAGTGAATACAATGTATGAATACTGCGTCTCTATTTCTCTAGAATGAATAATTTTAGCCTCATTAGTCAGGAAATGTATCCAATCCAACGCTGCTGACTCCTAAACTTTCAGAGACTTCATTTAGAAACACATTTTGCAGATTAGGTGACTCTACGTGCAAAAATGTTCTATGCATTGATATTCTCTAGAGAGCGGAGTTATTTTTTTGCCCATTCGGACATGAGTCTTTGAAACGCATGAAGGATGTATACGGCGAACCAACTATTATGGGCGCATGTTGTGAAATTTGTTGATTACTAGTTCTCTGATTTTGGTTGCTCTTATTGTGTCATTCCTTTGTGAGCGTGTCTTTCATTGCGATTCTTTTGTGATGAATATCACCGCGAATTGCAACTATTTCCGGCACAGAAATGTTCTCCGCACAGTCCGTGCAGTGAGCATTTTCTGAACTGACAGACCTGAATTGAGGAAACGTGTAGGTTGGGTGAGTGCATACATTTTTTCGAACAAAAGTCAAACTAAAGAGTGCACTACTGCACATTGTCCATTTTTATTTTGCAACGTACAAGTTCCAGAGTCTTGTTACTCTGAAATAGTCGTATTCCTTTGTGTATTCCTCTTTCATTCGAGTACTACTGTGATTGAGTAGAGTATTCTTGTACCGCGATTTCGATTGTGATGTCCTTCGTACATATAAATGCGTATGTCTGGTCCCTGCAGTCCTGACTTTGGGAAGCACTTGTCTGATGAATGCATTTTTCACCTTAAAAACAAAATACTAGTTAGTAGGCTCATTTTCAATTTCCAGGTTCGAACTTCCAAGCTGTCCAGTTTCCGGATTGCCTATTGTCTTACCCTCTTGTGAACCCTCCTTCCACTGGTTATCTTGTCTTCGTCAGCAGTATTTTATTACAACGATTTACTTTACAGCGACGTTTTCCCAGGCTTTTGCAGGCATGCATTTAGAAAAATATATCGTTTCACGGATTGATGAATTTTTCAACAAATAAAGAACTAGTGGGTGCCCATTTTCAATGAATAGTAATAAACTAAAAAATAAATAAAAAAGGCATCTCGTCTTCTCTCATTCCTTTACAAACGTCGTCCGTTTTTCCGTGATTCAATATTACGAAGATTATCCGCAATGCGGAATATTCTCCGTGCGGCACAAGTTTTGTAGGGAACGCCGCGTGGGTTGGATGAATTGGTCACGTAAGGAATAATGAGCAGTAGGTGCCATATTGCGGGTTCCAAGCTCTCCGATTCCGGTATCTCTCATCTCATCGTTCCTTTGTGAACTTGCGTTCCATTGAGATTCTCCTGTGATTCAGTATTTCAGCGTCAGTCTACCGTGCGGATTTTCTCCTGCGGGAGTACTCGTGTAAGAAAGACCTGAGTAGGCCTAGGATTTAAGAGTCGCATAAAAGGATAGGACTCATAGGAGTCATCAGTTTCCGCGAGCCGGGTGCTCAGGGAAACAAAGAGCCTGCATGCGTCCTAGCGCCGCTGATGGATGAAATTTCGCAGAGCCTTGTTCTTTTTCTCGAGAAGGTCGCGTTAACGCGGATGATGGATTCAGACGAAACAGGGCTGCTTTGCCGAAAATTATTTGCATGCATCAGCATTCTTTTAAAGCTTCAAGTCCGCCGATTTATTTCTCGAGTAATGATCTGCGAGACAGGCATTCATATGAGACTTACGAGAAGTGCCGGAGCTCTTGAGAGATATTCAAGAGAGGTACTTACTGCGAGGATCTGCCATTCAAGGTCACAATCGATCGTGATCATCAAAATGAAACTGGAGAATTTTACATGGTTTTTGGAGAAGCAAAGCTGTCTTATCACCATGATCAACAATCTGAGCCCGAAATCTGAAGTACGTCAGCACGCCAATGTTTCATATTCCGAGATGTAGAATGAAGGAATATATTTTCCCTTTCCTGCTCCTTCACGCGATGAAATAAAACGGCTGTGTCGAACCAATTTTCCCTGTGAAACTGCCTGAGAGGAAGCCAGTACAGTACTATACGAAAATTTTTATGTTCCTTCGCAAAAAGCTTGTTTCGTGCAAGGTAGCCGATGTCTGGAAAATTGGATGCTGATATCAAACAGAAATTCAGCGAAATGGTGCAAACTTTGAAAGCGTTCCTTTTCGCATTTTCCTTCTTTTCTTTTGTTTCGCAAAGATGCTGGACAGCCGGTGAAGATAACGGAGCTCGTTGTGCCATCAGTAGTCAAGAATGGATCAGTGGATTCTGTTGTTCTGGATTGCGTCTACGAATTCGATGTGTCGAATCTCGAGGGACTCGTCGTGACGTGGTATTTCGAGGATCTGCATCGCCCTGTTTACCAGTGGATCCCCCCGAATAAGCCCCAGGATCTCGGCAAATTCAAAGATAGATTGGATCTGAACTACACAGCAAGCAGTGACCCGAATGAAAAATATCGCGCTCTACGGATTCTGAATCCTACGACGGATTTACATGGGGAATATTCCTGCAGGGTCTCTACTTTTGACGCTGAGGATGCTCGTTCTGCTACCATGATCGTCTACGGTGAGAAATGCCTTATCATCCTTCTGAAATTCACGAGAAAAGCGTGCAAGAATAACTCTGAATGCACGTACTTGGAAAAATAACCCGGCCCCTCTGCCCGACAACCCTTTTTTTTTTACATAATGTAAATTAAATTAAAGGTCACACATTTTTAAAGCCAAGTAAGTACCGTGCTTGAAACGCTGGCGGAATATTCATCCGTCAAGCGCACTGAAAAAGCCTCGTATACACGAGATAATGTTTCAGATTTGGATCGTCAAATTGATCAAACAGTGTCTGAAGTTAAAAATTAGAAATCGACATTTGTCCTTTCACAAGCTGTTGCTCATTACTATAGAACAGAGTATTCTGCCGAAACACTGACCTTTGTCACTGATTCGATCCCGGACTGAATTTAATTACAATATTTTCCTTTCTTTTCCACAACAATAACCCTTGCATTGTATATTGGCTGCATTTTTAATAATGCGGCCACGTACGATATACAAGGAAATAAAGTTTTTTTCTTGAAATACTTGCCAAAATCTGTGAGTTGCCTGACTTTGTCGTGACCAATAAATGCTTCGACGCGATAATTGTATTGAATTTTTCATTCAGCAGAGAAGCAATTTATTGATCGATCACCTAAAATAATATCAGCAATATTCACGCAATTTAACAAGTGCTTTGATTCGAACTGACGAGTCCGTCAGCGGGAAAGAAAGCTATTCACATTTAAATTAAATGTTTGTTTCCTCTCGATAAATCAACATTGTTTAATGTCTGATCGGAGTCCGTATACTGTGTATAATTCATGAAGCAAAAAACGCAGCTCTTAAAAAAAAAACTTTTGACAGGGGGATATACAGTAAAGTACTTGATTTTTATCGGTGTGCCCCTCAACTCAATCTTCACCCTTTTCCTCAATGGAATTGTCTGTTGCGTTTGTTAATATATTCGCTTTGTTTCTGATTTCATCAGCACCTGCGACATCTTTCAACTTTTCCCATTCAAAGCCCTCGATGGACAGTGTCAACGTGTCGTGCACAGCCGGTGGAATTTATCCGAGGCCGACGCTTTCGATCTACCGTTACCCGAACAAAAGAAACAGGTCAGAGTGAGTGAGAGGCTGACCCAGAATAAGAGAATGACCGATTCTTTGTCGGAATCCGAAACCACTCGCGTGTCTAATACCGCCAATTTATTCTCGTAACAGATACAAATTGGAAAATATCAAATGGACGGAAGAGAGAACTCAGAACGGCGCCTACGAAATCTCCCTGTCTTCCCTGGTCGAGGACCAGTCGTTGAGGCAGGAATCTATGTTCGAATGCGAGCTACTCATACCGGGCACTGGGTACATACTGAAGCGAAAAATGGTCTACTTCCATAGTAAGTTTCCGGGTCTCTGTCACGTCACCAGCTTCGTTTCCAAACTGTTATCCGCTCACGGAGCTATTTCTAGCCGCTTCACCACCCTGAACCAGGTTTCTTCCAGCTTCTGCGAATGCCCAAGTTTCGTCGCCCATCATAAAGTTTGGAGCCACCTGAGTGTAAAAGTCGTTCATGTATCGAAATCCCATGAAGTCGAGAACGGCAGCTTTCTAAGGATGTCTTTGTTATACTGGGAACCCCCTCGAATCAGAAAACCTCATTCATTGTTTAGTTTCCCGGAAGTGAATTCCTGATTGATTTACTCTTTCAATTGCTGTTCTCAGATGTTTCTTAACATAGTTTAGCTTCCGCATCAGGTCTTTTACCTTTCGCTGTTACAGTATTCCACTATACGGAGACATCTATACTGTCTGCATAGGAGATTGTGAACTCACTAAATCAGCGAATTTTTCGCACCCCAACTAAGAAAAATCGCGATCAAAGTGGGTAATATTTCAAGACACAATGAATTGTGCCACGCACCAAGACATTGAAGGGTGCTAAATTTTCCTCTACCACATGTTTTAGTACTCTCGTAACTGGGGGCCGTAAATCACAGAACTTCATTGAAATTGGAACGAAGATTTCTTAGGTCTCTTTGAACTGTATCGATTGGATTAAATCTTGAAACGGCTGTTGCACAGGACATTTCCCCGCAATCTTAGTCGCAAACCGGGTTTCTGTCCTGATACTAAGACTTCAAAGCCCATTCCTCCCCTCTCTGATCTAACGATGACGCAAGAAAGGGGCTTCTTTCCTTGATGCCACCCTCGAAAATATTTAAAAAGCATAAAATCCCTCACATGGCCGTGAAATGAATCGCAAGAACGGTATGCGATGCTGCAGAATACGAAGAAAATATTCTCAGTTTCAAGACGAGCAAGGGAGCGATTTAGTGCTAAATTGTCATAGAGCTCATGTTTTATTCGTCGAATAACTTGGGCTCATGAATCACGGAAGTTCCTCGGAAGTGGAGCAAACTTTTTTCCCAGCTTCCGCGAGACCGGTGCTGGTTCATCTCGCCTCGAAGCTGGAAGTGGGCATGCAATCGTATTTTCCTCCCGGAGGCGTCAGGTGAAGTGGTTAAAATTTGATTTCCCCGCGAGCGAAAGATGGCGATGAAGCGTAACTGGAAAACGTCTCGAAAGATAAGCGCAAGTTAGATTGCTGTTGGGGGAAATGGGTCATTGGCTCATGTCATGATGCAAAAATCCCGATACGGCCCTGCTGTCGGGTCTGGCACATTGCCAGACCCGGTTCCCATTTCCCCCGCTGCACACGAGCCCCCGGGGTGCCCGTTTTCTCCCATGCATTGTGTTCCGGTGAAAACCTGAGTTCTCCACACGGAACGAAACGTCGCCGGTGCGCGCTTCGTGTCATCGCGTTCGTCGCCCACGCTTTCGCGATTCTCATCGGCCGGGAAGAGATTCGGGTTGTCTCTGTTGTTGGGCCGGAAGCGTGACAATGGGCTGCAGTTGGCCTTTGATGTTACCTGGTGGCGAGAACGCTGTGTTTTCTTGATCAAAACACTGATCTGAAGTCAGGCGAACGAGTCTCTCAACTCGGACCACTTCCGAGGTAATGGCGCTTCTCCTTTCCCAGCCTTGCGGCGTATTCACGAGAATACCACGCGCATCCCCGTCTCTCTTCCCGACATTTGCCAATCTCTCTTCCCGACATTCGCCAATCAAAAAACAGCGCATCGTATCACACACGAAAAATTCAAATTTTTTCCACGGAAAGGATATGTTTTCAAAATACATTCACGTAAAGCAAGTCTTAGCAAAAATATACTGTACGTCGGTACAGTAAACCTCCCAATTATCCGGACGGACACTAATGACCAGCAGATGGGTCTCGTTGCCCGGATGAAAATTCATCTTGCATCACTGTAAAAAATTCTTGAAAATTGTGTTCATCTGTAATATTCAAGAATGGCTTTACAAAATACTACCGACATTCTCGGTAATATTGTTGAAAGTGAATTAACCCAGTTACAGTCAATTAATAGATGGAGAGGCTCGAGTGAGGCACTTTTGTTTCTTGGGAATTCATTCCGGCACAGTTGATCAGATTCACTGTTTATCAACGGCAGGGTCAATAAGTTACGATAGAGGGATAAAATAAGATAGAATAAGTACCTCATATAATTTTTTACAAATTTATATAAGTTACCTCTTCTATCAAAGGTCTGCCTTTTCCCCAAAATAAAGGACCCAAAATCTCTGGTGAAGCCTACTAAAAATCAAAGCGCATAAAAATATCAATTGGAATATGTCGGTGGAAATCAATTCAACAGGTGTTACTCCTGTATAATGCATAAAAAACTAAAATATAAATGCGTATGTACGATTTTCTGAAAATTTACAGCTGAAAATCTGCTTCGCGACTGACGCACATCCGGTGTATAATCCCGTGAAGACGAAATTCATTTAAATGTAAATGGACGAATCGTATTAAAATCTCATCAAATTATCACATGGGCTAATATGTAGTGTGTGTACGGGCTTCCAGCTGTCCTTAGATGTTATTTGATGGCAAGAAAATGTTTTTTTCCTTGATTAAAACGCTAATTTAAAATCAGGCGAAAGAACCTCTTGATTCGGACCAGTGCGAAGTTAATGACGCTTCTCGCTCTTCTTCAGCCTCCCTGCGCATTTCAACCCCGTAGTACGTTTTTCACCGGAAAGCTTCTCCACGGGTTATTCCAGAACTTCTTCCCTTCATAATAGGATCTTCGGTTCTGTTGGATTAAACTTCTGCAATTCTGGTTATTTTACCCGAAAATTTTGATCGGAAAAGACCAAAAAATGTTCTCTCAAAAGAAAATTATACAGATTATACACAGTTACTGTATGCAGGAATTAATAAAACGTGCGCGGAAGTCTGATGGATTTTCCGAGTTTTGAGTGAAATAGAATTTTAATAATAATAATGTACCTGTAGTATTCGAGCCCCTTTTTCTCATTTCTGGAAATGACAGGGATTCTTTTTGAAGCTTCATTGAGTGGCAAACATTTTCACTGGTCTTCTCGGAATGCTTGGGCACGCGTATTTTCTGCTTGCACTGACTCAGCAATCGCTTCCCATTGTGCTTCTCTCATTTTCTGCTAGGTACTGTGGAGTTGAAGGAAGAATCTTTCCTAGATGTTTCTGGTTTTGCCTCCGAATCTAAAGGTGAGCGGGGAACTGTGCCTAGCACGGTTTGTAGAAACGATAAGCTAGTATTTTTAATTCTTTTTTTTTCTTAGACAATTCAGCATCAATGATGAATCCGAATCTTCTTGCGGTTGGCGTGACGTGGTTGCTGTGGAAAGGATCCTTTTCATACGGGTAAGAAAATTCCACACACAGATGTCGTTCTTTTCGAAGTTCACGGTCTCCGTCATTTTCAAAAGAAATTGAATAAATTTCCTCTTTTTCCTCTAGTCTTTCGGAAAAGTGATTCTTAAATAGCTTTTAATAGTTTTATTGAAATTTCGCAACTGAAACGTCTGTATTTTGTATTGCAGATAAACGCTTCGTTTCCTTGGGAAGAAGAAGAAGAAGAAGGAGGAGGAGGAGCTGAGTATCACTGTGATAAGAACAAGGCCCCGTGTTCCGACAGGCGATGTAGGGATGATTAAAATTGATTGAAATATCTCTCGCTTATGCATTAATCGCTTGAATGGGAAAAAAGTTGCCGATTATATTTGATTTTGCCCCTTGCATTGTCAATTTTGTCTAATTATTTATCAAACTCCTGCACTCGAAAACGCTGCATTGAGTTCTTTGAACATCGATTATCTTCCCTCCCGATAATAACTCGGGAAAAATAAGTCGCGGATATTCTTCTGTGATCTTCCTTCGAAATAACTACATTTTTTTCAAACGCACATCCTTGAAATATTGTAATACAAGAAAAACTATTCGAGATTTTGATCATTCCAGTACTCCAGTAACACATTACAAAGAATTTATTTGGATATATCCAAAATCCGGGCGCAGTTAATCGAATTTATGCATAATCTAAGTTATAAACTTTTACAAGCCTCAGCATTCGAAACCAGCGTGTGATGCTGGGCGATTCAATTATCGGACGACGGAAAGACAAAGCCTCTCTTCGTCGCAATGCGGTAACTTTGAAAAAGGGAGGATTCTCGAACACAGACTACAACGCCGTCAAAGTTTTCGATCGAGTCCAATGATCGAATTAGTTAACGAGGTCCTCTTCAAGGGATCTTGCTTGGAACGTTCCGCAGAGAACGAATGGAGTTCATGTGCTTGTGAAAAAGTTCGATGTAACTGGGCTGAGCACACCACGTTCGAAGCACGTCTATATACCCCCTTTCGATCAACATGGAAACACGTTGAGTAGTCTGTCGTTGCTAGCACAGCGCACGTGACGGGGCGCACACAGAGGGACATGTTGGCATGCAAAAAACGAAGGGGTCGTCAAATAAATAGCGTCAATCAATTTAGAGTTCAGAGAGTACACTGCGGTCTTTTCTGCTGTGAAACATCAGCAGCGAGTAACAATCAAGGCCCCTGAAAGGCACCAACTATTGGCATAAACAAATGAGTTTTATTAAAGGAGGGTTTATGAATTCACGGCGTGAGTAAACTCGGACGATTTCAATTTCTATGCGATGCAAGAATACAAACGCATTCCTGCATGAATGAACTGGATTGCGTATGATGTGATTTCCTGCCCATACAATACAGTCCTAATTTTAATCTCATTTCATGATTGATTAATACATTATTTCAAGTCGTAAATTTCAGATGAAGAAATAAAAGCAGAAAAGGTTTTTAAAATGTTCCCACTGATGGAGCGTAGAAATGAGGCTTCACCCTGCAATATTGAAAATTCTTGGGAAATTTGCTGCCGACCTATTAACTAAATCTATAATATTAATTTTATCGCATGATGACAAAATCATTTAAAGCCACACGTAATTCAGACAGCCTTTTTACAAAGTCCGAGAGCCGAAGTATATGGTCAAGCAAATTACGATTTTCTTCCTGTGAATTAACTTTTTTTTGCTATGCATTCGATGTGAATTAAATAACGTACCATTTGAAAGAATATGCAATGAAATTTTCTGTGACTCATTATTGACGTAATGGCTTACATTTTTCAAGATATCCTGCATTACCGTTCAAATACAAGTTAATTTGGTTCATTCTTTAAAGATGAAAAGTTGCACCGAATTTACTGAGATCGCAAAAATAAAAATTGGATTATGTGTATGGTGTTGCCCGCACGCAGCGATGCTTACATTTTTTTCCCTCGATAACCAAACTCTGAAATAAATTACATAAATGTTGAATTTGCCGACGGAAGTATGAGGTAAAAAAATCATATACGAAATTCGTAATTATTTTATCCTTATTTTCTCCGAAATTGCCCGCAGGAAACCAGTCCTTTTACTTCCACCGGAGGATTTAGTGCCTGCTTTGCGGAGGATTGATTGGATCCCACCACAGCAGCCTGTATTGGCAGCCCCAATGGAGTGCACACCAGCAATTGCGGTCGAATGAAGCCCCTGCATGTGCCTCCTGCTGGGTTTGTGCTCAGGTCGTCAAATACTCATGAATCTGAATCTCCGTGAGCACGCAGTCAATCTACCGGCACAAGAAACCTGTGCGATATATAGCTCCTGCATCGATTCCTTCTCAGTAAGGGCAGACAATGAAAAACAGCTGGCTTCGAACGGGGTTTATTGGAAATTGAGCGGAGATCAGTAAAGCGGCAGAACTACTACATACGGAAAAATTGCAGCCGGAGAAAAAGAATCCCAATCCAACAATGTCGCCACCAAAGTTTCTCCGGATCACAAGCGCTTGCGAACATCAACAGGAAAATCAAGAGCATAAAACCAGGGAATGTATTTTGCGACATAGTTCCTTTTTTTTGTGCGGTTCGAATGAATTTCCAAAAATCGGCCACTGCCGGCAAAAAGGCTCACATAATACTTGTAGAAAATCGAGAAACCGGGATTCCGAACGAAATTTCGCTCACAACTTTTCTTCGGAAACGTCCCTGTCATCATGAACACAAGAAATTATCCATCAGGTATCCATCGCATCCGCTCGAGAGAGGAATGACAGTTCAAACGTTAATCACTGGTTCGAATCACACTGACTTCGCATCAATCAGTCAAGCCGAATTAGGGGCACGTCTATATACTCAAAAAACTCTCTACGCATCAGAATCGGGTTCCTACCTTAACGTTTCGTTCGGATCGCCGAAAAGATGACTATTCCGAAAACAAAATAGGAGAAATGGACATCCGCGCTTGGTTTCAGGATAATACTGCAGAAACTAACCCCATGCAGGGACGAAGATTTCATGAGTGGCTCCCCGAAAATGCGTAAGAGTCGCTTCAATTCTAATTTCTTACATCTAAAACCGCTATTCGATCTCCACTTTCAAAACAGGCTTCTCTCTGAAAGATCTCGTTTGGAAGAATCGCTTTGGAATCTTGAAAATCGTCACGCATCCTGAGAAAGAGAAGAAACAAATTTCCTGCAAGCATTCCTGAGGAGATCTAAAAGTCGCAAATAAAATTTAATCACCCGAAGCGATTTGCGCGAAGCCTGAACGTTTCTCGTGAGCACCAAGCTACTTTTTGTTGCGACAAAAAAAGGAGAGCATTCTTCTCGAAGCGGAGTTGGTCGGCAAATATTGCGCGGACAAAATTACCGGGGAACGTCACTGGCTCACTCTAAGCAAGGATAAACGTCAGCTGGTCGCACAAATTCCTTGACAAGAAAGACTAAATGTTCGAGATAAAAAATGGCGAGCGATTCAGACAAAACACCGAGGCGCAACTACAGTACAACTTCTCGCTCGCCTTGTCATTCTAAATCGAAAATTCGTCTACTTGCCCTTACCTACACGCGAAGGGTGCAAAAAACTTCACGCAGCAAAATTTGGAAAATCCTCTTCGTTGGCACTTGCACAACTGGCTCAGGAAGTGGATCACCGAATTCTTCAATGAAATCTCCAACTGCGAAATCGTCTGGGGACATTTTACCTCTAAATTGCCTCTAAATAAGGAACGCGATGCTAGAAAGCTGCCTAGCTAGATTTCCCAGAAGTGGTCTGCGAAGATACATGTGTGGTTTATAAGTTCAAGAAGGAAAGCCCGCATACTAAGTCACCTACTCTAAAAACTGGCTTCTTATTTTTCTCACTTTCCTTCACACATGGCAAACCGAAAAGCACACACTGGTTAATGGAAGCAACTTTGATCGAGGCTTCTTTGATCGGTACTGAGCGAGATAATTATGCTAAATCAATAAATAATACTTCGAACTGAGCATGAATAATTAATTCTCTAAAAATATGGAAGTATACTTCGAAAATTCCACGAGAACATTTCATTTCGACCGAATCAACAGAGATAATTTAAAACCGTTTTTTTTAGGTAAGACATATGATCTGCTAAAATTATTGATACCTGAAAAGCATCCAACCTTCTACTGCGACGAAAAATTTCATTCTACGTGTTCGGTTTTCAAGTTTTCCACCAAATCTTCGTTGAAAATTCATTGAACTGTTAAACAGCTAATGAAAATAAAATTGCGTTTCGAATTTCGAAAGAAATCGAGCTATATTCTTAACCGTAAAGCTCAAAGCCTCCGGAATCAAGGAAATTATATTCAAGCAGAATTTTGGCTAGTCTCGAAGTTCATCAGACTATATTTAAAAGCATCATTCACCAGCGGACCTGACTACTGAATATTTGTGCAAACAGCATGAAAAGCAGGAGATTCCATCTCGCCGTTGGGATTCCGTCGCTACGAATGCATTCAAAGGGGTCCACACGAAATGCAACTACACAGAAGAACACTTCCGGGGGAAACGAACGAATTGAACTGCTAGGAATAATACGACCAACTTGACATAGAATGCACCACGAGCTGAAGCCCTTCATCACATCCCCTTCCCATTTTGCCAAAACAACAAAGTCGATCCAGGCGGGCATCCGCCGACCTGGCTCACAAATTTTGTAACCAACTGTCTTACCAACGCCGTTGAATTGTTTCCTAAGCTGATCGTCCAGGAAAACGTTGACCTGGCAGACAGAGCCAAAGAGATCCCCATGTCGCGCATCACAAATGACATTGAAACATGAACAATTGGAAAAATATACATCGAAAACTTGGGTTCACGACGACATTCAAGGTTTCGGTGGGAGAAGCGCGTCGCAGAATAAACATCAAAATCTCAGCATTTTTCCCGTCCAATACAATCGCCAAAAAAGTGAGTTTTCCTCGTTGCATCTCTGAGCGTTCTTTCCTTCGCTCAATCGTCATTTTCAAGACCGACGGTGCTTTAAGAATCCAACAAAACGTGCCAGCGTATAACTTCTTCCCCTGGCGACTCTCGCATCTCATTCCAGTGACCCAGCTCCTCGTCGCCGGACGAATTCAGTCCCAGAGAAAACCACCCTATCATCTCCTTCCTCTTGATGCCCTTCTTCGTGAGCACGGTCACCATAAGCGTCACATCACCAACTTGGAACAATGGTACCTTTCGAAAAAAACAAGCATTTCATCGACAAAATCTGAGGAGACGTTTTTCGGCGGCATCGCAAATCCCACTTGAATATGCGCGATAAAAAAGGTAGAACATTCCAAGCCAGGGAGTTTTACGCATGAACAGAGGGTAAAAAAGAAATAGCTGATGCTGAGTAGAATCTCAACAGTTCACCGAAATGACTGATGCGATCCCTTGAATAATTTAATTCCACAGATAATCTGAAAATAATTAATCAAGGATGGATCCTTTCTTCGCAAATTATTTAACGCAATAAACTGTCACAAAAATACCCAGAAAAAAACGGAGGAACCCGAAGACCTTTGGAAACTTTTGTGGGAAATTTTTGCGACCTTTAATTTTCGCTTGTAGTGTACAGCATGTATCAGACTGCATAGAATGGTATGGAAAAAACTGAGAATTGAAAATATTTTTTAAAGGAGACTATATAGACATGACCTGATCGTCTTTAAGACCACAAATCTTACCAGAAATCGTTAGACAGAGGAAAATTCTAGAATATCTTCGCGAAATACTGTAAGGAATGGCAGTAACGAAAAGTATATTCAGCTTGGGTTTTGATAATATCCATACTTTTAAATATAAAAATTCGTCATCTTCCCCAAGATGTTGATCTCAATTTTGAATGAATTTCAGCACAAAAGTCAAGATAATAGAAACTAAATCCCTCCAACTAGAAAGCAGAGGAATAACTTCAGCTTGCTTCCTTTATGGTCGGCTTTACATTTTTGCATGGTTAATCGAAGTACGGATAATTGAGGTTCCAACGTTCAAGAAATTCCGTAAACGTGCTTGATAATAAAAAAAACGGTTTTGGAGCACACATTTAAGCTTCTTAACGCATACAAATAAAGCGGCCTCGGCATTCTCGTTCATTTAATAATATACAGAACAGTGCTTAGCAAAAGCGACTCAAACGGATTTCAAAATGCGGAAAATTGATGACTGCTGTTCCATCACCGTACCTGGTACATGAACGATTCCTTGAAGACCGGATTCGCTTGTGCCCTTCGAACGGATGTTCTGCTGGATGATATTTCTTGACCATTACTACTGATGAGACTCAGGCAAACGTAGGTGTCCGGAGATCGAGTTGCGGTAAGATTCCTGTTTAACGCATGAAGTAGAAATAACGAATTATTCTCATTCCAGAGATGATCCTGTTTCATCTATAAAAAAAATTGGCATTTCGCGTAAGGCGCGTTTTGTTCAACGCTATAAAAAGGGAATGTGAAATAGCTCTTTTCCCTAAAGTAAATGGAGCGAAAAATGCTCATTTTCTAGTCAAATTCCACCCCGATTCGAATACGCGAACGACGACGGAAGACTCGAACAGCCAAGAGAAGCTAATTAAAAACAGTAAATAAAGAATGTATTGGAAACATATTCATTTAGAAGAAGCTCAAACTCAATGCTAACCAATTTCGGGAGCTGAAAAAGCGGATTGTGCGAAATAGCGCCGAGAAATGGGCATTCTCAACCTGATGGTATTTGATTCCAGTTTGAATCTCTTCGGAAATTGAAGGTTTTGACTATAAAATAATCTGTAAAAGGTGTTGCAGGCAGAAATGATCGAACAAAACCCCACTCAATTTGCACCTCAATTTTCAAGCAAACGATAAATTTAGCCACGAACGACTTCCGAACAGGTGGAGGATTGATATCCGATGACATCTTAAAGGTACTTGACGAAGATTTTAATTCTAAGGTAATAAGTTCTGTGGAATCACTGTAATAGGTCCCAAAATAACAAACGAATTTCAAGCGAAAAATTACGCTCAACGGACGCGGTTGTTCATAGCAGATTTATTTTTTATATCTTAGCTGGTTTTTTTTTTTAATTAACATGGGCTCCTTATGTCAGGCATTTTATTCGGGGAAATTCTTCACGCGGGGGCTAACTGCTGCAGCTTCAATATTACAAGTGAAGGATTTCAGCAGAAAACGGTGACGTTCGAACTTGCCGGAAATGTGATCCGCGCAACACGTCGACGGATAGCCGCCCCGTCGTCGATTTGTACGTCAGGCCGATGAGGAGCTCCGCCATGCCGCCACGCACTCGGACGCCACTGAGCGTGACACATCCGCTGCCGGCGTAAGACGAAGATGAGCGGCTGCCGCGGCTGCTTCGGCGACACGTCGACGAACCTGACGCGGATCCGGCCCCACTGTAACTTTCGCGAGACTGACTCGACCCCGTCGACTCGCTGTGTGCCACGCTCGACACTTCCGATCTCACGTCACTCGTCTGAGCATGGGGGAAATCGTATTTATCAAGTGAGTGATCTTTCTTCCGATAACCATTACATCATTCATATTTTACGCATTCCCACAATATTTACTAGAATATAATCCGTCTCCAACTTTTTAAACTAAAAAAATCAATGAAAGCTTACCTGCAGAAATAAGCAGCATAACATTATATTTTTTCATCGCATAAAGCTATACCTAATGCGCAGTGTCTGAAGATTATATCCCGCAATGCATCATGTTTTAATGACTTATTTGTATAATAAAAAAACATCGATGAAGAGACGAGCACTGATTTTTTAAATAAAAAAATGCTAAAAAATTTTACGTGTGAGTTTATAACGGACTTGAATATATTTCCAGGTACTAAAAGTTCAGATACAATGATAATGTCATCACGCACTCGAAAAATTAACCAGGATCACAACTCGTGTACCATTGATCGACGAATACTGCATTAAACTAAGGATTCGCTTTAATCGCTTTTTAGGAAAACTTTTCGCAAGAAGACCGTTTCGGTCAGAGGCAAGCACTCATACAATTTACTTGCGATTCTAATATGACATCGAATATAAAATGCACACCGACTTTTTTTAAATATATTTTTTAAACTAATATCCGTGAGAATAACGGGAACTCAAAAAAGATCTCCTATTCAGGAGAGCACAAGATTTTTCGTGGAAAAGCCTGACCAAGAAAGTGAAATCCTTGAGAGCGTAAAATTTATGACAACTATACATGTCCATGTTCACAGATGGTCGGGAAATGTTCCATAGTCTTGGGACTGTTTCGAGAGGACATTTTTGGTACAAAAAACTTGAATTTAATAATAAACTTGAGATCCTCGACTTGATGACAGCGGAAGAACTGAAAAAAGTTTCCTTATCTTAAAAGAATTTCACGAACAGAGTTTTTCTCTGCCTTCCAGCCTTCTTTTTCCCAAAAACCGTGAATATTACATGACAAGCTATGCTAACCTTAGACCGAAAGCACCGAAGAATTTCACAGAGTACTTGTTATTTTTAGAATGAGGGCTCATGTGTATTTCGAAAGGGAAATTCTAGCCGAGAAATGTCCCTGCATCAAACCGTTCTTGATTAAAAACAACATGCTGGAGGGGCTGACGTTTTTTAACTACCAGAATTTTATAATATTCTATTATATATTTATAATATACTACCGTATATTAAAAGACTATATTTATAATACAGTATAGTCTTTTAAATTAATGCACAAAACGGAAGAATCAAGATATGGGAGATGGATGTGGAGAGTTCTAAATATAGTTCTATTACGACGTATTCAAAATCAGTGCGATTTGGCTTCATATAGAGTGTATAGTATAACCATCGATACATCATCATCCACATTGTTCCAAGATTAATGAGAAAGCCGGTGTATTTCACTGAAATTGCATAATTTTTCACAAAATAAATATTTCATTGGACTTCTTGACGGAATTGAAATTTCATTCGATCTTATTGTTATACTTATTTATTAATTTTTTAATTGACTTCAAAATCTCAATATAGTCTTCAAAATAAGCTTCCATAATATAAATTATTATTATTTTTTGACTAACACTATGGTTGTTGGGGCTGGTGGAGAATTCAACACCAAAATTTCAAAATCTTCTGGTTTCAGAATATAGTTTCACTTTTATTGACATTGTATCGCAGAAAATTAGGGCGAAGAAGAAATAAGGATCCACTCGGAGATAATAAGTCCATGTTTTATGACATGTTCGATTTACTCGGAAATTGACTGATCAGGTCCAGTTTTCTTTACGAAAGTTCGTTAGACACCATTGTTATAATACCTTATAAATTTGCTCCAAGCTTCCATTTCCACTTGGAATTAAGAACTTGGAGATGACAAGGAAGCATTGACTAGCATTGAAAAAGCTCCCAGGGAAGAGTTTTTTCCTCATTTCAGAAAATCCATGATAAAAGTCTATATGCAATTGACGTGAAATACCATTCAAGTTATAAAAACTCGAATGGTATTTCATGTCAATTGCATAATTTTAAACAAAAAAATTGACTACCCGGTCCCTCTTGATCAAAGTTTCATTCAATTTTGTTTCAATTTTTAATTTATGAACGAAATTCACGGCAGGCGGGAGTCGAGGAAATTGGTACCGAGAAGATGGATGCAGAAGAGAAAGTTTCTCACCGTTGCTCCAAGTTTTGGCTCCAATGTCAGCCACATGGGCGCCACTATGTCGAGGTTCACAGACGCGAATCCGACCACGGTTTCCCCAATCAGTCGTTCTCTACGAAGACGCTCGCAGCCATAAAGTCTCAGCCGAACACCCATGCTATTGACCTCTTCTGAAGAGCATGAAGCGTTCATTAAGACGAGAAGATGCAAAAGCAGAAGAAAAAAAACACGACCCGCAAACTGCCGCCATACATTCCATTCACCCCAAGGTCTGGCAATCAGCTTCTTACACGCGATTTCCGAGTAGTTATCGCTTTTTCAAGGCTTTTTTTTTCTCCCGCTGCTAATGTGCGCATTTCTCGCACTCTAGCACGCTCGTAGGCAATCGAGTTGAGTGCTACGAGGTTCTCCTACCCTTGAACTTCTGCCGTGCCATCACGTTAGAATCACGAAATGCCTCAATCACGTTATGCCTGGTGCACTCCGTTGCAACGGAAGATTGGCAATTCAATTATTAATCCTCTTAAGAACTTCAGCCCAGAGTATGCGCTGCATTTCAATTTGGAAGATCACGGGATCCGTGCGGTGCTCCATGCAGCCAAATGGAAAACGCGCCTAATGGGCTCCCAGTTGCAGGTCCTAGGCGATGGAAATCCGCCTCTTTTTTTTTTTTTTTTACAAATATTCCTGTCCTAAGCACTTTGAAAATGTCCCGGCGGCATAAGCAGGATTTTTTAAATGACCGGGCATTAATAATAGAACCATCTTGACAAGAAAGACAAACTAAGACCATGCTAGAATAATTTTCGGGCGGATTTTGTCCTGAAGCAGGCGTACTTCGTCGCACCCGTCGCACAGAAAGACTGGAAAGAAATAAAAATTGTTTTGGAAGGGGTTCCAAAATAATTTTTTCCCCGCCAATCGTACAGAAGAAGGCTTTTTCTCCATCAGAGAAAAATCATGATAAATTCAACATATTTGGAACAACTAAAATGACGAAAAACAGCTTGATGAAATCCCAGAAAGCTTTCACAAGAAAATTTTGTTCACCATAATGATACACAGTTCAAGCTGCGTCAGTGCGGGGAAATACTGTAAATTTCTTTGTATACCAAATGTCTCCACGAAAATTCCTAAAACCAACAATAAGTCTTGCACAGCTTGAAAAGCATTTGTTTATCTACTTCGCATCATCCTCGATTGCAGCCCTGATAACTTCTTGCTAACCAAGGGGAATGTAAGACATCGATCTGCATGTGCATTCAACAAACAACGTTACTGGTAAAATCGAGGAAATCGTAATTTTAATACTGTATAGCCATCAGGATATTCCAGCTATCGAAAATATTTCGCAGTCCGTGCTCTGTATGGTCTGTCTGCATCTTGCAAATATGGCACCATTTTTGAGTCGGGGGATGCATTTTTGAACTAATGTACTGCTTCAGTTTTCGATATGTTCTAATTTGGTTGTAAGAAGATCAAATCATGGTCACGATTTATTGAAATATCTTTCTGAAAAATTAATTAATAAAGAGTACCTGCAAATCGCAAGACTAAAATGCGCTTAGAAATTGGCAATTTTCTCGACAATTTACGCAGCACACGGACGATATTCCGGACCTTTCGGGTTAACAATTTCAAACTCGTTACCGGAGTGGTTTACCAAGAAAGGTGAAGTATGCCGTTTATGACTTGAAATATTGACTCTTCATCAATATTTCATCCGAACCCGCGATGCCAGAGAAAAAAAGCAACATAGGAAGCGAAGGTAGGCGAGTATACGCGACACCGGGCAGGGCGAAATTGAGAAAAATGGCACTGACCAGGATGTATACCGCTGAAGATGAATGTTTCATGGAACATCGGATTGTCTCCAGGAAGGATTCTCGTTCGGTGCCTTTGCTTCCGCGATGGAAGCAAGAGAATCCGTACCTGCGAGAGCGGAAAAAGACGAGGTAATCGTCTTCCACGGCGCGTGGGGAAAAAAATAAAATACTCCCAAGAACGAAAGAAAAATAGGGTACAGGTCGAACGCAAGGTGGAGCCAGAAACTCACCTGCGACAGGCAATCCCCAGCTGGTCGGGAGCGCGGCGGAACATCTCTGGCTTGAATGATGGCGATGCTCATGCGACCCGACAGGGCGTCGTAGGAGAACGCCACCTCCAAGGAACCACATTTAGAGCTAGGGCCCAGGGCCGCCCCCGCACCCTCAGTCGTCCCTACGGCCCCTGCGTTTCCCGAGCCGCACATGAAATCCCCGGACATCATCCGGAACGACGGCTCGGCTCCGAGGTCCAAAATTGGGTCCTGGGCATCAATCAATTACCGGATTAGCGTCACGAGAGACGAGCGTGCGATTTATTCGAATATAAGAGGTACTTTTAGCCTTATTTGTGGATTGTATAAATGCGTAGCAAGGCACCATAGGAAGCATAGGAAGCACCATAGCGTTCGCGTGAAACGGCTAAAAATTCTGGCACTGAGTTTAAATTTAAGGCTCCAAGTTTCTTGTAAACGGGAGTTTCTATATGATGGCGTCTGGTGCCTCAATCTCTTTTCTAATCTCCGGAATTGCAGAGTGAATGGCATACAAAATTATCCTTGCTTCTTGGACAATCTGGCATACCACCATTTTGCTTGGACCACGGGTTGAAAATAAGTCCTGGAACATAAAGCATAGTCTTTCGTTGAAAAAATGTTCTCTTGAAAAGCTGGTGGATTTCATGCCTAATTACTCCTCATTTCAGTGCGTCTTAAATTTGCATGTGGAATGTACGATTTCTCATTGTGACGAGCAAATTATTTAGAATATAAAAGTTTAAATTCGAATAACGCAAATCCCTTCACCATGTAAACTTTGCAGAATAAATAATTCTGAATTATTTATACAATTTACAGGAGATTAGATTTAGACATTAAGCTCGAAGGAAATCTTTGGATCCCTATGATTTGGATGAAATTTAATGCAGCAGAAATGCTTACTTGTTTTAAATTTTCTGGCAAAATTGCGTTGCTTTTCAAAGTACAAGCACTAATATCAAGTACGCCTTACCTTCCTTTTCAAGTAAATACGGTAATACCGTAAATTGCTCAGGTTGAGTGAACGATTAAAAAAAGTATGCATCATCTGGACACCAGAGTACCATTTACGCGTAACCCTCAGAGTAATTCACGGATAACTGCAACCACATTCGTGCTCAAAATTTGCGAAGTTATGAACCTAGAGTGGGATTCGCGTCAACGAAGGTACAGGGCAGTGTGAATTATTCGGGGAAATTCTGACATTCAACCAAGAAAGAGGTGCACGAGTGAGTAATGGGGTGCAGCCTGTTCAGGGTGAACCTCGGCGTCGTTAATTTACGATCACTACTATTGTAAAGGATGCTAAAAATACGAGAATCGGTTTCCACACAATTTCATTTCCATTATGTGTCTAAGTTCGACAGAAAAATAATCGTTGTTGAGAGGATTCCATCACATAGCCTCAGTCTTGAATTAGGAGCCGTTTTTTCCTCAGGCGCGCAACACTTCCGTTGGTTTTGATGATTTGAGCTGTTTCCAATTCCAATAATATGGCCCTGAAACCTATTCACGTTTTTTCTGGGTCGAGTAGTGTGTGAATCGCCTCGCGTTTCGAATTGATAACATTTGTTCAGGAAAATTGCAAGCAATACCGTGCAGCAAAAGACAAATAAGCAAGGACCCGTCAACTATTATATACAGTACTGTCAATAGCTCGGCATCAACGAAGGCTTTATTCTTCAAGTAGAAGTGTCAGGCATTGGAAAAAGCCTCGAACTTATTGCGCATGAATTCTATGGCATGTTCAATGCTCGTCCATGTCCTATTTTTTAAAAAACGCACTATATTTATCAAGGACAAACAGTTCTGAAAATAAATTTGTAAAAAATAACAGGCATCAGGTTCGATCCTACACTACACCTGGAAACAGAGAAGGCAATATCATCCCCCACCCCCCACGTTCTTCTAAATATATATTTTTTTCAATGCGCTGCATTTACTTGATCGACGCTTGTGGTAATCCAGTTTGTTCACAAGACAATGTGATACTTGAATGATATCTACGGGCGGAATTCAGCATAATATTTTGACAGTTTATCCGTTAACGGATCGGTATGTACTTATCAGGATCTTGCAAAACACATTACAGCCAGTTCAATAGCAGTAAGAGTGCCTGCTTTTCCAAAACCTCATCTTAGGAACGTTCATGTTTTCTGAAAAAATCCGGAATGCATTAAAAGCCAACGCATTCAGCCATCACTTTTTGTCGAGGATAGATGACTCAAAATGTAATTTGAGAAGTTTCGTGGAAATGAACGAAATTTCCATCAGAAGACGGAACACAGAGCCTCTAATGAATTGGCGCACATTTTCATATATGTAAGCATACTTCATTTTGATTTGTAACGCGTTCCAAGGGTATCATCTGTCACAGCTCTGTGCTATAATTAGGACATTTGACGGCTAATCACGGCAGCGTACCAGATGATCGGAACCCTTTTTAATCGCTCATTTCAGAAGTAACGTGAGAGTAAAGTACATTTCCTTTTCAAGAATTCATGATTGAATGAGCCCCGTTTTATTGTGCAATGCCGTCCCAATGTATAAACCTCCAGTCGTTCAGACAAAATACGCCATAATCCAAATCGCTATACTGAATGACATTGGACTGGAATATCAATGAAGTAATCAATATCACAGCAAATAAGCTGTAATTAACTCCCTGACGCATTGAGTCGTTTGATGTGAGCCCCAGGGCTTGAGGTACCATCATATATATAATAATTTAAATCCGTGAACATATTACCGATTGTCTTTGAATGGTTGCTCAGACGAGTTGAAGTCTAAAGTGACAAATGTATGTTGTATACGTCATAATAAATTCGATTTCACTTTATGTGCAATTCGGAACGTCTTGAACGACTTCACATGAAGATCGACGACTTTTGTCAGCATTCATGATGCTTGTATAGGTGCGATGTGTTCAAGATGGATCGATGGACCATTCGTACCGTAGAAACCCGCCGTCTGAAAAACTTTTCTTGGTCGTCTTAGGACTTGAAGACCCGAAGCGCATAAATTCGGGAAAATGTGTCATAATATCACCTACCTGTCTATCAAGTTCGCATGCAAG